TATTAAAATGACATGACAAATGCCGACGCATTGAAGAGAAATAAAATATGTTCTAAAAAATATCGACGATAATATATCAATTACATTTTTTAGGTATTTCCCTATTTCATATCTTCCGAAATATAAAATGATTGGTTATTATATTTGGTCATAAGCTTGACATATATGGATGGATTCTTCTAGAAATTGTCGGTATCGTTATTATATCTTCAAAATATAGAAATTTATATAAAAATATTGTCATTATCTTAATTAAATCATATCACAAAATAAACGTGCGTTAGAAATTTGGGGGTTGAAGTCTTATTTCATCTTGAGTGCTGTTATCGGTATATGCATAAATAAAATTGGGTAATTTTTGATTTAATATTAAAAATAACTATTAATTCGCTAATTATTTATTTTACTTATTTTTTTTTGTTTCGACCATTTTATTTATTCATATAAAAACTATTTATTTTACAGTAACATAATTTTTAGTTATATCATTTATGTCTTTTTTTAGTTAATATAATTTTTAATTTTCCTTTTAAAACTCCAATTCTAATATTATTTCTAACCATTGCTATTATTAATTAATTTTTATTCAATTTCTTTGGACATTTTTAGTTATTTTAAAAGTGTTTTAATTAAGCCTTTAGAATAACAAATACTGATATAACTTTTAAAATGATGATGTTTAATAAAATCTATTTAATTATTATATTAATCTATACTATTATTATTATTACTATTATTATTAAAAAGATTTATAATCAAGTTATTGAAAAAATTTACATTCATTTATAGTAGTTAATGCATTAAAAAAAATTAAATTTATTATAATTAAAAGATGAATTATTTATCCTGAATTATATAATTTAAATAAACTTAGTTAGAAAATAATATAAAGCTTTAGACAACAGATAGATAGAAAGATCATATCAAATGTATGAGTTATTTATATATGTAAAAACACTTGTAATAATCATATCCATAATTTCATATAAAATTCTTGTTCGATTTGCAGTGCCTGAATTCGTTAAACGATGACATGAATCAAAAGCCACCACCAAATTTAAAATATGAGCCGGAAAAATATGTTATGACATCTTTTCCATTAATTCCAAGTAGGCTACAACTCACCGGAGGCGGAGATCATAACTCATTCGACACTCTGACACTCGGACGTCCATCTACAACCAAACACGCGGGAAATCTTATGCCTCCAATCCCCATACCACCATCTACCAAAATGGCCAAACTCAATTTAAGCACAACGAATAATTACAAACACCATGAACCACCGCTGCCCTTAACACTAAATCTCACCACATCCACTTCCACCTCCACGCCCACAACCTCTTCTGACCAACAATCATCATCACCCTCAAGACATATTGTGGTTAAATTTCAAGAAATGTCTGGTAGCTTTAATAGTAGTAATAGTAGTAGTAGTAGTAATGGAGATAATATCATTAGTGTTGCATGATTTCATATTAATTAATTGGATGTTATGATTAATTAATAACTTCTGAGTGTTTGTATTTGTAAATTAAGTTTGGAGAGGAAGAAAGAGGAGAGATTTATTATATAAATTCAGTTTGATTTAGTTAGGTATGGGATGTTAATTAATTAATTAAATGATTAATTAGGAGGTATAAATATGTAATAGTTTTATCGTTAATTGTTTCTTGTATTTGATTGGGTTGAAAACGTTAATGTATTTAAATTTAAATATGTCAAATATGGCAAGGCTTCTAATTTTATGGAGGAGTCTCTATCTCTATCTCTATTCTTAATAAACAAAACCTTAAACCGTCACATGACATTATGTTAAACCTCCTCTACGCCACGTGGCATTACCACAACAACTCTTAGAAGTTTTTCCTGTCCAAGAATACTAAATAGGGAAATCAAATAAAATCAATAATTAATTCATTTCTAAAATTAAGGTAATTAGTTTTAATATGTCAATATCTCATGTTTTAAATATGTAAATACAATAAATACAAATTTCAAACCTTAAGGGATATAATTCAATCCCTGAAAATCATCTTAATATCAGGACTTCCAATTCCAATTACAAACAACGATTTCATATTACCAGTTTCTTCTTTGTTGTCTTCAAAACTGTAAGTCAAGAACTATTATGCACATCTGCTTTCGTGTTCTCCCTCTGTTACAATTTTTTTTCTTTTACATTTTTTGATGATTTGAATTTCATAAATCATCATACTTTTATAGATGATTTATAGAAGCAAATAAACATTGTACTTTTATTTTGAAAACAATTATCTTGCATGCTAGAATACGATTTTATTCATATTTTCTATTGAGATTTGCTTCGTAAACGGTTCTATCTATCATATAGACTCATTCTGATATATTACAAATTAGGTTGCTACTTTTACAAATTATTGAAGTTCAGAAATCTTTGAAAATAGCAACATACTTTGAGCATTTTATTTTTTGTAAATTCATGAACCATTTCTTAAATAGCATTTTACTTTTATTTGTTTGTAAATTTAATAACACATGGACTCCAGTTATATTTCCTCATACCTTATTATTTTTTTATACACGTATGACAATATAGTGTGGCTAATAAATATAATTATCACGTGTGTTTCAGTTTTCATACATTATTCCTATAAATCAGCTTTTCGTCCTTGGGATTTCATCTTCTTTTGTCGTCTTTTTCTTAATAGTTACTGTCAAATTTTATACTTTTAGTCATTGAAGAGCAATGATTGCACCAAATGTTACTTCAATCGCCACTTGGCGCACCTTCACACATCAACACAAGCCTCTTGCGTCGTCCCTTCTTTTCTACTTCTCTTGCGCCACAAGCCTTCCTTGCCTCTCACTCAACCTTTTCCTCTTGCACATCACACGACCAAAACCTTCTTGTGCCATATTCTTCTTAACCTAAACAGTATCCCCTTTTTTTGGCACAAAAACCTAATCGAAAACAACCTCTTGCGCCATCAACCCCTTTATCGCCATTCCTTTTTTTTTTTCTCTGTCGCAACAAGTTTTTTTCTTGCCTCACACTCCAACCTCTTCCTTACTTGCGCCAAGTAAACCCTAAAACCTAAGCCGTGTTTTTTTTAAGACGAAACATCCTAACACTCGTTCATTTCCCCACTTGCGCCACAAGAAACCTACTATTGTGCCATACCTATTTTGTAGCACACTCCTTTTAACCCTAGCCGTTCTCTATAAGTATCCTTGGTGAAATTACCCCATTCGTAACTCTCTTGATCCAGAAGTCGAAACAAGCTCTCTTGCTCCATCAATAATTATCATGAGCAACAACACTCGTGATCAACTTTCGCACACCACCATCTTGCGCCATCTACCCTACAAACAACCCTCTGTGCGCCATAAACCCTCATCATCAATCATCACTTGGAGCATCAACAACCTTCATGATCAACAACCCTTATGACACTCACTTGTTGCGCCATGGTCATCGGATCACGACCACCATCTCGAAGTGCTACCATCGACTGGATCAACCTCTTCTCTACATCACATCTTGCTCCACTCTCAAAACCTAGGTCAGCATCATTATTTTTTTTGTTTCAAAACCCTAATAATCGTGTTTCTTAAACCCTAATAATCGTGTTTCTTAAACCCTAGTATCGTTTTTTTTTGTTGTTTTGGTCAAACCCTAGTTTTTTTAGCATTATCAACTATTTGTTGAAGCATCATCATCCAACCTTGTTTCTTGAGTGGATCATCTCCAAATTCTAGGTAAGCATCACAATCTTTTTATGAAACCCTAGTTGTCAGAAGTTAGTTTTATGAGCATCATCATATGTTGTATGTATATTTTTCTTTTGCATGTACATCATAGTCAAGTTAACATTGATTATTGGATCATCATGTGTTCAGTGATTGTCATCACATGGTCGATCATCATTTTTTGTTGAGCATCACATTTCTTGATCACTCTAGGTAAGTGTTCATTCTACTTATTTACACTCAATGATGATCATGGTGTACACTTTCTAAAGTTCTTTTTTTTCTTCTCTTGACATAACATAGATTTAAATATCTCAAGGTCAAAAGTGTTGCTTTTTCTTTATGTTGCTCATTGATTCAACAAAACATCAACTGGTAAGTCATACCTCTCTCGATTGTTCACATATCCTCATGTTATATTGTTGTCTTTCCTTTATTGATGATTTCGTGCACTCACTTGTCTATACATATGTTCCTATGGCCAGGTTCCCTTAGTATTGGCTATCACTTATCTTTGTGCACACTTCTTCTTGTTGCAATCATATTGGATGAGCATCATTTTTCTTTTGTTTTGTTTTGCTCTTTCTTTTTATTGATCATTAATTCACTTTTACATATCATGCTTAGATTATTTAGTGTTAATCCTTTGATCACGTCTCACCTGTGAGCATTATACTTATTGGTGCATATTTTGCTTTTCATTGTCACAAGTCTATTACCTTCACTCTTCTTCTTTAAGGTAACGTCTCTTTTCTTATTCTTTTGTGATCTTTAATTTCATTTCATTTATATGTTCTTTTAAGATCAACGCATTTTTTCTTTTTGAACTCTATCTAAATCCATTCACTATACCATGTGTTCTTGGATTTACGTAAATAGTTGTCACTTACTGTCTCTATGGAATAGTCATCATAGGTCATGGCTTAACAGTTTTACTAGATCCTTTCACTTTTTCTATGATTTAGTAACATCAATTTTTTATTTCCGTTTTACATGACATCAAGTCCTTTCTCTTTTATTCCTACTTGTCATGTCATTTACTTTCTGGCCTATACCTAGTGAATATGAATTTGCAGATTTCTCTTGTCTATACTTGAATCAACAATACTACTCAAGTCACAAACTTGTTTAGTTGATGCAAATTCACATATTTTTTTTCTCCCCCCCCCCCTTCTTTTTTTGGAATTTAGTTAAGATCATATGCTACTACTCTCTAGCTATATCTCTTTAAATAACAATTAATTCCAATTTTTGTTCTTCTTTAAGACATGGCTTCCAAAGAAGATGGAAAAACTTCTAAAGAAAAGGTGTCTTATAAGTCATCCAAAACTCAAGCAACTGGACCTTCCACTGTAGCAGGCACATCATTACCTCGACTTGCTATGGATGTATCAAACTATATTGCACTTCTTAAAACTCAGGTACAACCTCAAGAAGTTGGTGTCATTTTTGAATATTTGCAAAAATGCCCACTGACATATCCACTCTTAACTACTTCTCCAACTCCACAGTCTCTTATTTCAGACGTCTTTCAATCTGTAGCTATATCGCTAAGAGCAAAGTCAAAAAAGCTTGATGTTGAATTTAACCTTTGTCGAACTAACTTGGTTCTCACTAAAGAAGAGTTCGCAATTTCTTTAGGTCTAAGCGATTGTTTATGTAAACCTTCAACATTTGTCACAACTTCTTCTGCTCAACTGTTGACAATGTTCAAGGAAATGAGATACAAATTTAAAGAAAAAGTTGAACCAAACCTTTCAAGAATTAAGAAAGCTCGACTTCCCACGCCATGGCACTTTCTCAGTTTCGTCCTCACTCGATGTTTTTCGGATCTGTTGGTGGACGCAGTCGTGGTAAAAGAGATCTTTGGATTGTCATGTATGGACTTTTCTATGATATCAATGTCGACTACATGTCCATTGTTTGGGAAGACTTCCTCACCTTTATTCCTGCCTCAAAAAATAAGTTTTTGATTCATCATCCTCGCTGGTGGTCTATCATTATTCGTGATGTCATCAATAATAGTAATCTTACACTAGATGAGACTCTAGAAGGCACACTTCCACAATTCTTTCGTATGACACCATATAGGATTCGTATTGCATCTGACTCTGAGTTTTCACATCTAGTAATTATTCCAGATTCTATTTTAGCAAAGTTGGATGAAAACAGTGTTTCTCTACTCTCATAACAAAAATACATCCAGGGAACTACTTTTTCTCCTAAAAAAAGATAAAGCACTCAGATCATGTATCCAAGAAGTCGAAAAAGAAGAAGAAGCGATCAAAGTCAGACCAACCGCCTTCCATCCCATCTCCAGCCGTCTCTGATGATACTCTTGGAGTAGATTTAGATGAGCCCACATCTCCTCATAAAATCTGGTAAAACATCTAAGTCACTTCCTTTCTTCCATTCATTGTTTCAAATTCCATCTACTTATGTCGAATCATCATCCCCAGCTCCAGTTTCACCAAGCAATCGTGTATCCTTGGATTGTGACTCACTTGAGGACGATGAACAAGCAGGTGAAAAGTAATCCGAACTTGAAGATCTTCCTAAAAGCTCACCAGTACAAGATAATCAAGTTAAAGATACTCCAATGCAAACGGTAGACATACCTTCCAGTGAAGGGCTGATAGTTGATGATGAGCCAAACGACATGTTAATTTTCGTATACTCCAAAGCATCTATGAGGAAATTTAGCATTGATCTTGATGACTACTCTCCCTCACCTCAAAAAGAGTCTCAAAAACATGATGATACTCAAGAAGCTAAGTTCCCTTGTTTTCCACCAGATCCTCCTCAGGACAATGGTACTTCAACAGATACAAATGTAGCAAATACATCTGAACCAGAGCCTGAGCGTATTAGACTAACTGCTCAGATGGTAGCTGACGACATTGAGGAAATCCGTTTTCATACATCTTCTCATTTTGAATATCTAGACAAGTTTCAAGGATATCTTGAACGCATGGCAGATAACATGTGTATCCTAAATGAGACAATAGAAGCACAGGTAAAAAACTTAAGGTCACCATTGAAGACTTTAATTGCACACCTACATATATCAAGGGACAAGTTATTCATAACATGACGCGGATCGAAACTCTAGATCATAAAATTCACAACACTATTGAAGATCGTCTATCTCCGATGTATCAGAAGATTTATGACTTTATTCAGTCCTTATCTAGTCTAGAGTCAATTTATGAAGCTAAGTTAGATCATCTACAGAGTCATATCACGAATCAAGACCGATATATCTCCACTCTTGAGAAGTCAGTTGCAGAACTATCTAAAGCTTCCGCATCATCTTCCACCTCTCCCTTTCAAGCATTTAGCGAGCAAGTTCAACGTAAATGGATTCATTGTGACTTGACATTGCAAATCTCTCAATATCCAATTCTCAGAAAGATAATAACTCCTCAGGTGACATATATTCTCTTCAGAAAACTGTTCAGCTGCTAGTCAATGGAATCAAGGCTATCAAGACATACTCTTCTTCTTATATACGTGAAATTCAACAAAACGTTGCCTCGACAGATTCCAAGCTAGACTTGATCTTGGCAAAATTATATGGTTCAAATGATAGACCACCTGAACCAGAGGGGGAAAAGGTCAACAAGTCCATATCAAATCAGTCTCCTATCATACATCAAATTCTAGACTCACCAAATGAGTTTGAGAAAAGGAGACCAGAGAAATTAGAATCACTCGACAAAATGGCTGCTGATGCAAGATTAAAAGCTCAAAAGAACAAAGCAAAGATGGCAGAAACAGAAAAGGAACTCATTCGAAAAAAAGGGATTAAGGATCCAACTTTAAAAGTTCCAAGAAGGAAAGATATTTACATCACAAAAATTATTACCATATCAGAACCAATCACCCAACCAAAGCTTCCTCAAACTGATCCTAAGGGAAGAGGAAAACATAAGGTTGTCTTCAAGTTGAAGAAGGAGTTAGCCAAAAAGGCTAAACAAAAGGTAGATGAAGATTTGGAAAAGGATCTTCACGCAAAACAATTAAAGGATAATCAAGAGGTGCTTCTTGAAAAGAAATTTTCAGAGGTCTCTCCTTAAGAAAGGAACACATAGCATGATGAACAATTCTGAGCCCCATCTCCAAAGAGGACCATCTTTTTCAATCCCGATAGAGATTTTTATCAGAAGATCAAGGTCATCAAGCCCACAAATTCCTTCACACCTTCTTCAGACCTCACTAAGAAAATTGGGATATTTCTGCACCCCCGAATGGTACAAAGTTCAATCTATGGCCAAGTGCAATATATCCAGTTAAGCCTGATATAGATATTGAAGATGTGAAGAAAAGATTCTTCTTGATGAAACCAATTCAAGTTATCTCTGTATGGTCAAAGTTTAAGATTGCTTCAATTAGAAAAATTAACATACTGGAATTTAGAAAGATACCATATGCATTATTTCAAGGAAAAAGGACATAAAACTCTGAATTCATGTTTTTTTGAAGCTGGTTTCCCCTAGGATAAATCAAGTTAATATTAGATCATTGATCATTTGGTTGAAAAAGAAAGCAAGTACCAAGGAAGCTTATTCATATGTACTATAACTCCTAAGGCAATACGTGCACGATATGGTTATTGATTTCAATGTTGACTAGGAAATTGGACAGCTTGGAGAAAAGGAAGCTGAGAAGCCAGATTTGGATCTAAATATGGAAAATGAGTCACCTAGGAACATAATGAAGAAACCACACAAAGGAGTTATATTTTCTTCTAAATGTCGACTGATATTTATTAGAATCTCTCAAAAACATCTGTTCTGTTCTGATTTCATTCAAGGCATCATTGGTTTATTGAAGAGAACAGAAGATCAAGATAATTCGCTGAGAGTGAAGATCATTCAACAACTTACTCGGTTTTTTAGTTTTCGATAGTGGTTACTAAACTTGAGAAACAAATTTTAGATTGTGTGTTTTTGTTTTAAAACATGTGGTTTGTGTTTTGTTTTTGCTGCTAGTAATTCATCTTGTTGTTAATTTCATCGTGCATGATTTTACTTTTATTTTTTACTCCTTATTTCAGTAACCATCACATAAGGGGAAACTGTTGGAAATATTTTTGATGTGATTGTCACTTGAAATAAGTTGAGTCTATGTCTATATCTCTCTAACAAACATTATCAGAATGTTTCAGGTTGGAAAGATCTTAAAGATTCAACAAGTGTTTGAAGAATCAGTTGTTGGAGTACGTGCAGCTTACATGGAGCACATGAAGTTGACATGGAGCACTTGAAGTTAATATGGAGCACTTGAAACTAACATGGAGCACTTGCTGTTGACATGGAGCACTTGAAGAAAGCAAGTTAGACCATCATGATCTCATATGTCACATCTAGATCATATGTGGAGCATCAAGATGTTGATGGATCAACATAAATACTTGGTGGCTCATCTCAAGTCAATGGATCGACATGATCATATTGATGGCTTAACAAGATTGCACATGGAACATCATGTACAATGAAGGCACGTCCAAATACTCGGTGACACATGCAGTTCGTCCATGGTCCATCATGAACACGTGTTTGTACATCTTCAAGTTCAAGACACATTCCTAACATTCAAAAACAAATCAACTTGATCAATGACACTTCTGTAAGTTAATGACATCTTAGAAGACCATGGAGCAACATGATGCTAATGTTGCTCATCGTACTTTCAATTTTGGTCAAGAAGGCTAAAGAAATATGAAGACTCAAAACTTGGATGGAACTCTAACGGAATACTAACGGAATTGGAATATTCCTTCCATTCTCCGTTAAATAAGGCAAAGGTGTCAATGTATGACTAAGTCATGATGACGTGTGAACACCTGATAGGTCAAGCCATGTCATGGTCTTTTCCAAAGCCTATAAATAGGCCCCTTGGGATCCGTTATAAAGTTGCTCAATTCTGATCATTCCCTGCTCGGTCTGCTGAGTTGTTGTTTAGACTAGTTTTCTGAAAGCTACTTGAGAGTTTTAGTGTGTTTTACATTCAAGCACTTGTAACTGGATCTTTATGAATATGAGACAATTTTGAATCATTGATCATGAACATTCAAAAACGTTTTTATCATTAACTTGGTGATTCACAACTCTTTATTTATGACGATTCTGAAACTCTGTTTCAGTATTTTCAACACTTGGACTATTCTAGTCTAAGGTTTACTGATTTTTCTCATTTACTGAAAAGATGATAAAAATTCAGTAAACCTGGACTAGAATAGTCCAAGTGTTGAAAATATTGAAACAGAGTTTCATAATCGTCAAGTGGCAAGTAATGCGGAAAATAAAGAGTTGTGAATCATCAAGTTAATGATAAAAACATTTTTGTATGTTCAAGATCAATGATTCAAAAGTGTCTCATATTCATAAAGATCCAGTTACAAGAGTTTGAATGTAAAACACACTAAAACTCTCAAGTGGCTCTCTGAAAACTAGTCTAAACGGCAATTGAGCAGAATGAACAGGAATGAAGCTGGAAGAGGAACTTTATAATGGATCCCAATTCCTAAGGGACCTATTTATAGGCTTTGGAAAGGCCCATGACATGGCTTGACCAATCAGGTGTTGACACGTCATCATGACTTAGTCATCAGTTGACACCTTTGCCCTACTAAACGGAGAATGGATGGAATATTCTAATTCCTATAGTATTTCGTTATGGTTCCGTCCAAGTTTTGAGTCTTCATATTTCTTGAGCCTTCTTGATCAACATTGAAAATATGATAAGTAACATGAGCATCATGTTGCTTCATTGTCTTCTAAGATGTCATCAACTTCTAGAAGTGTCATTGATCAAGTTGAGTTGTATCTTCAATGTTGGAATGTATCTTGAACTTGAAGATGTACAAAAACGAGTTCATGATGGACCATGGACGAACTGCATGTGGCATTGAGTATATGGACGTGCCTTCATTATACATGATGTGTCATGTGCAATCTTGTTGAGCCATCAATGTGATCATGTTGATCCATGAATTGAATGAGCCACCAAGTACTTATGTTGACCCATCAATGTCTTGATGCTCCACATATGATCTAGGTGTGCCATATGAGATCATGATGGTCTAACTTGCTTTCTTCAAGTGATCCATGTCAACAACAAGTGCTCCATGTCAGCTGCAAGTGCTCCATGTTTAACTTCAAGTGCTCCATGTCAACTTCATGTGCTCCATGTAAGCTGCAAGTACTCCAACAACTGATTCTTCAAACACTTGTTGAATCTTTAAGATATTTCCAACCTGAAACATTCTAATAATGTTTGTTAGAGAGATATAGACATAGACTCAACTTATTTCAAGAGACAATCACATCAAAATATTTCCAACAGTTTCCCCTATGTGATGGTTACTAAAATAAGGAGTAAAAAATAAAAGTAAAAACATGCATGATGAAATTAACAAAAAGATGAATTAATAGCAGCAAAAACAAAACATCATCCACATTTTTTAAAACAAAAACACACAATCTAAACTTTGTTTGCCAAGTTTAGTAACCACTGTCAAAAACTTAAAAACCAATTAAGTTCTTGAATGATCTTCATTCTTAGCGAATTATCTTGATCTCCTATTCTCTTTAATAAACCAATGATGCCTTGAATAAAACTTAGAACATAATAGATGTTTTTGAGAGATTCTCATATGTCTTAGTCAAATTTAGAAGAGAATACAACTCCTCTTTCTGGTCTCTTCAGAATGTTCCCAAGTAACTCATTTTCCATATTTAGATCCAAATCTGGCTTGTAAGCTTCCTTTCTCCAAGATGTCCAATTTCCCAGTCTACACTGAAATCAATAACCATATCGAGCACATATTGTCGTGGGCGTTATAGGACACTTTCCCTCTGTTTCAACCAAATGATCAATGATCTAATATTAACTTGATTTATCTTAGGGAAATCAGCTTCAGAAAACATGAATTCAGAGTTGTATGTCCTTTTTCCTTGAAAGAATGCATATGACATCTTTCGAAATTTATGTATGTCAATTTTGCTAATTGAAGCAATCTTAAACTTTGAGCATACAGAGACAACTTGAATTGGTTTCTTCAAGAGGAATTTTTCTTCACCTCTTCAATGTCTATATTAGGCTTAACTGGATGTATTGCATTTGGCCATAGATTGAACTTTGTACCATTCGGGGTGCAAAAATATCCCAGTTTTCTTTAGAGGTATCTGAAGGAGGTGCAAAGGAGTTTGTGGGTTTGCTGACCTTGATCTTATGATAAGAATCTCTATCAGGGTTCAAGAAGATGGTTCTTTTAGGAGATGTTGCTCGAAAATGTTCATCATGCCATGTACTTCTTTCTTCAGGCGAGATCTCTAAAGATTTCTTTTTGAGAAGCACCTCTTGTTTAGACTTTAACAGCTCTACGTGAAGATCCTTTTCTAATTCTTCATCTATTTTCATTTGAGCTACTTTAGCTAACTCCTTCTTAGAACTGAAGACAACCTTCTGTTTTCCTCTATCCTTAGGATCAGTTTTAGGAAGCTTTGGTTGAGCGATTGGTTCTGATATGGTGACAGGTTTGGTGATGTATATAATTTTCCTTCTTGGAACTTATAGAGCTGGATCCTTGATCCCTTGTTTTCGAATGAGTTCCTTTTCTATTTCTGCCATCTTTGCTCTATTCTGTTGAGCTTTTAATCTTGCGTCAACAGCCATTTTGTCGAGTGACTCTAATTTCTCTAGTCTCCTTTTCTCAAACTCATTTGGTGAGTCTAGATTTTGATGTATGATAGGAGACTGACTTGATCTGGACTTGTTGACCTTTTCCCCCTCTAGTTTAGGTGGCCTATCATTTGAACCAGATAACTTTTCCAAAATCAATTCTTAGTTCTACAACTGACTTCTCAAGGGTGTAGATGTATCGATCTTGAGCCGTGATATGACTCTGCAGATGATCTAACTTATCTTCATAAACGGAATCTAGACGGGATAAGGACCGAATAAAGTCATAAATCTTCTGATACATCGGAGATAAACGATCTTCAATAGTGTTGTGAATTTTCTGATCTAAAGTTTCGATCCGCGTCATGTTACGAATAACTTGTCCCTTCATACATGCAGCTGTGCCATTAAAGTCTTCAATGGTGACCTTAAGTTTTTTTTACCTGTTCTTATATTATCTCATTAAGGATACACACATTATCTTCCATGCGTTCAAGATATCCTTGAAACTTATCTAGATATTCAAAATGAGAAGATGTACGAAAACGGATTTCCTCAATGCCGTCAGCTAACATCTGAGCAATTAGTCTAATACGCTCAGGCTCTGGTTCAGATGTATATTCTTCATTTGTATCTGCTGGAGTACCATTGTACTGAGGAGGATCTAGTGGAAAAGAACAGAACTTAGCTTCTTGAGTATCATCATGTTCTTGAGACTCTTTTTGAGGTGAGGGAGAGTAGTTATCAAGATCATTGCTGAATGTCCTGGTAGATGCTTTGGAGTATAGGACAACTGACGTGTCGTTTGGCTTATCATCAACTATCAGCCCTTCACACAAAGGTATGTCTACCGTTTGCATTGGAGTATCCTCATCTTGATTATCTTGTACCGGAGAGCTTTTAGGAAGATCTTCATGTTCATATTGTTTTTCACCTGCTTGTTCATCGTCCTCAAGTGAGTCATAATCCAAGGAGACACGATTGCTTGGACCTTCTATATCCGACTGAAAGCATGCTGGTGAAACTAGAGCTGGGGATGATGATTCGACATAAGCAGATGGAACTTGAAACAAGGAATCTAAAAAATGAAGTGACTTAGATGTTGTACCAGATTTATGAGGAGATGTGGGCTCATCTAAATCTACTCCAAGAGTATCATCAGAGATGGATGGAGATGGGATGGAAGGCAGTTGGTATGACTTTGATTGCTTCTTCTTCTTTTTCGACTTCTTGGATACATGATCCGAGTGCTTTCTCTTCTTTTTAGGAGACGAAGTAGTTCCCTGGATTTATTTTTGATATGAGAGTAGAGAAACATTGTTTTCATCCATATTTGATAACATAGTATCTGGAATAATGATTGGATGTGAAAACTCAGAATCAGATGCAATACGAATCCTATATGGTTTCATACGAAAGAATTATGGCAGTGGGCGTTATGGAGTCACATCTAGTGTAAGATTAATATTATTGATGACATCATGAATAATGATAGACCACCAGTGAGGATGATGAATCAGAAATTTATTCTTTGAGGCAGGAAGAAAGGTGAGGAAGTCTTCCCGAAGAATGGACATGTAGTCGACATTGATGTCATAGAAAAGTCCATACATGACAATCCAAAGATCTATTTTACCACGACTGCGTCCGCCAATAGATCCGAAAATACATCGAGTGAGGACAGAACTGAGAAAGTGTCATGGCGTGGGAAGTCGAGCTTTCTTATTGCTTGAAATGTTTGGTTCAACCTTTTCTTTAAATTTGTATCCCATTTCATTGAATATTGTCAACAGTTGAGCAGAAGAAGGTGTGACAAATGTTGAAGGTTTATGAGAACAATCGCTTAGACCTAAAGAAATTGCGAACTCTTCTTTAGAAAGAACCAAGTTAATTCGACAAAGGTTAAATTCAACATGAAGTTGTTTTGACTTTGCTCTTGGCGATATAGCTGCAAATTGAAAGACGTATGAAATAAGAGACTGTGGAGTTGGAGAAGTAGCTAGAGTGCATATGCCAGTGGGTATTTTTGCAAATATTCAACAATGACACCAACTTCTAGAGGTTGTTCTGGAGTTTTTAGAAGTGCAATATAGTTTGATGCAGCTATAGCAAGTCGAGGTTATGATGTGCCTGCTACAGTGCAAGGTCTAGTTGCTTGAGTTTTGGACGACTTATGAGATGCCTTTTCTTAATTCTTGAAAGGTTTGGTTCAACATTTTCTTCAAATTTGTATCTCATTTCCTTGTACATTGTCAACAGTTGAGCAGAAGAAGTTGTGACAAAATTTGAAGGTTTACATGAATAATCGCTTAGACCTAAAGAAATTGCGAACTCTTCTTTAGTGAGAACCAAGTTAGTTCGACCTAAAGAAATTGCGAACTCTTGTCGATATAGCTACAAATTGAAATACGTCTGAAATAAGAGACTGTGGAGTTGGAGAAGTAGTTAAGAGTGGATATGTCAGTGGGCATTTTTGCAAATACTCAAAAATGACACCAACTTCTTGAGGTTGTTCCTGAGTTTTAAGAAGTGCAATATAGTTTGATACAACCATAGCAAGTCAAGGTAATGACGTTCCTGCTACAGTGGAAGGTCCAACTGCTTTAGTTTTGGATGACTTATGAGACACCTTTGCTTTAGAAGTTTGTCCATCTTTGTTAGGTCAAATTTATGTGGTTTGGGCTAGATTACTTTTATATAAGTCTTGGTAGGGTTTGGTTCTATTGATTTTGTATGTTCACGGTTGTGTAGGTGTTCACGGCCGTGAAACTGGTTTACGGTTGGTCTGTTTCTATATATAGCAGTGTGTCAGTTCTGTGTCAGGTGACGTTGTCAGAGTGTTCACTGTGTGAGTGTGTGTAATCAAGGTGTAGCAGACGTGTTTGCGGACTAGCAATATAACGTGTGCATTACTTGATCAATTTCTCCTTCTTGTTCTGTTACTGTTTGATTAATTGATTTTGTTTGATCACTAGTTTGGATCATTGATTTGGGACTTTACAATTGGTATTAGAGCCATTCCGGTGTCAAGCTTGTCAAGAAGTGTTTACGGCTGGAAGTTTTTCGTCATTTTCGTGGTTGATTCGAGTTTATTTACTGGATTTGTGCATTTGATCGAGATTCCAAGGCTAAGGGAATCAAAATCTGCTTGAGAACTGTTGTTCTAAGTGTTCACGGCTTCAACTTTTTGAAGTGTGTACGACCGTGATCTAGTATACGGTTGTGAACCATTCAAAGCTATTGACTGTGAACTGCATTTTGACCGTGATCCATCCTTTGACCGTGAAACCTTCATTCTTTGACGTAAAACATTCATCTTCAAGTGTACGGCCATGAACTGCCTTGTGTACGGCCGTGATCTCTATACGGCCGTGAACCCCCTTATTGGTCATTTGAACATTTTCAGTTTTAGTACTTTCCTTGTTAGTTTGTTTGTTTAATCATTTCAGAAAAAATCAAAACAAAAAAATGGAATCACAAAGTTTAACAGCTCATCAGGAATTGGACTCGATTATGGGAACTACCACTAGGATCCCACGCCTTTTGTCGGCAGAAGGATTCCCAGAATGGAAATATCGGATGGAAAAATATATCAAAATGAAGGACTTCAAGATTTGGAGAAGTATTCTGAAAGGACCAGTCCGGATCACCACAACACTTGAAAATGGAGATGTCATTGACAAGGATATTGATAATTACACTGAAGCAGACTTTAAAAAAGTTGAACAGCAAGAGAAAGCACTTGCCACACTCACTATGGCTCTTTCACCAAAGATTGCTCAGGGTTTTCGAGAGTATGCTTCTGCAAAAGCTCTATGGGAGGCACTAATCGAGGTTTATGAAGGCAATGAGGACCTGAAACAAAGTCGCCAGGATATGCTGAGACAAAAGTTCAATATCTTCAACCACATTCTTAGAGAAACCCTGTAAGCTCAACTTCAACGATTCATCACATTGACCACTGAAATGAGTTCGGCTGGGATCTCAGTGCCATGATCTGAAATCAACAAGAAACTATTGAATTCTCTTCCAAAGGCATGGGATATGAATGTTGCTGTCATCAAGAAAACAAAAGATCTTAACCGACTTTGTCTGGCTGAAACCATAGCCATCATCAAAGCATGTGATCTTGATGACAAACAAAGAGAGATCAATCATGTGAATTCGTACTCAACTGCAAATCTCGGAATTTCTACAAACAATGCTTTATCATCCTTTACCACTTTTCAAAGTCAAGATTTCACTATTTCACAACCACAAGGTCAAATGTTTACTACCCCACAAGTTCAACCTTTTGTTGCTCCTCAACCATCATCGTTCACCACTCCATCCATGCTAAGTGTTCAATCTTTAGTATCTTATCCACAAGTTGTTTCCTCTTCAAAAGCACCAGTTCCAGCTCCTGCACCCAAGGAAAATGAAGAAAATCTGGCTCTTGCTACCGGTCTTGTCAACTGCTACAATGCCTTCGTGGTTGGTGAGCTACCTCCTCAACTATCTTTCGCTGATTTGGATCAAATTCATCCCGAAGATGTTGAGGAGATGGACATCACATGGAAAATTGCTAAGGCGGTGTTCAGCGCCAACCAGTTCTCCAAGAAGATAGACAAAAATAATTGGGGAATGAATGCTGAAAAGAAGGTGGGTTTCAACAAAGGCAAACTCCGATGCTTCAACTGCCATGAACCTGGCCATTTCGCCAGAGACTGCCCAAAGCCTGACATGAGGGAGAACAGCAAACGAACGATGGTGCCAGTGGGTAGCAGCAGGGGAGCTACCACCAACAATCAGACCTGGAATCTTGCTGTGGTGGCTCAGTCGTTTGATTGGGATCTCAGGACCTGAAAATGCACATCTTGCCCAGATCAACAACACTGCGGAAGGAGAAGCTGAGATAGACCCAGAGGTGGAGATGATGGAACTACAATTTGCATTCATGGTTCAAAGTACCCCAGAGCCTGCAAAGCCGGAGGTCAGTGAAAACTCTTATTCTCAATCTTGTATTAAAACCGGCAAATTTTTACGCGATCAAATCGAGTTAATAAAGAGAGAGAACGAGGGCTTAAAATATGAGAAATATGAACTTAAGAGAGACCAGAGGCCATTAAAGGAGAAATTAGAGGCCATGACTAACGATTTTAGAAAATTGCAGGAAGATTACAGCAACAAATGTGAAATTTACAATTATATAAAGAAACAACTTGCTGTTGTCACTACTGAACTTGACACATTGAAGACCCGTTTTGCAAATACCGATTTTAACTTTAAAAATTTCGATGTGTCAAGTGAGAGAGTTGCAACAATAATTGAACATCAAATGAAATGGAAGGACCATAAACAAGTAGGAATAGGTTATGAGAGTGTCCCCCCCCATTCAATCACAATTACACTGTCACTCCATTGTCTCAAGCTGAGATGGACCGAGAACCATTTATGGTATACGGTAAACCAGCTGCTGAACAGGCAACAACAAGTAGTGCTAGGAAATTGGATACTAACGTTTCTACTTCCGACGCAGATTCATCAGTAAGTTAGGAAAAGCAAGAGGCTGGAGAGAAAGTGTCTGAAAATAATTTGGTGTCAAAATTTGCTGTTCCTATTGAGTCTGTGTCTGATGTTAAAACTGATATTTTAATTTATGATGATTTGGTGTCGAATTTTAATGTTTTTGATAAATGTGGTGTTGTTTTTGTGAAATTTACTGAATCTGAATCTGACACTAGCACATCCACATTTTCTACACCTCTCACACAATCTGACTCATGCACTTGCACGTGTGGGAAAGTTAGAAAAGTTAATAAGAGCACGAAATCTGATAAAGGCAGTGCCAGGTCTAATGATAATAAGCAAATATGTTTCAACTGTAGTACTGCCGGTCACATTGCTCGCAATTGTCCAAACAGGGCATTTGTGTATTTTTCTGCACCGAGAAGAGAAAACGAGTCTCGAGGAAGGTCTCTAACGAGAAAGTCCTCAAGATCTCGTCTTCGTGATGATGATCAGAAAATTCATAATGATATGAAAAGGGATGATCTTAAAACGAACAAACAGGTTTTCACTAAACCAGCCACAGGTGCTTTGCCGAAATCGAATGCGGCTAAGCCAAGGTCGATTTCTTCAAAGGGTGCGTCTGGATCTTCGACTAATCTGAGTCGAAAATCTAAACGCTCAAGACAAAAGAAAAATATTTCTAAATCACCTGTAAATTCTTCTAAACCTAACTATCAGTGGGTGCCCAAATCTACACTTGTCCAATCATCATCATCTTCTGACGGTGCATCTGATTCTAATTCAAAACTGAAAAATCAAAATGATAAATCTGTGAATGTCAAGGGTAAACCCAGGGATGTAATGACCTGGGTCCCCAAATCTAAATAGTCCCGCTCATTGTGCAGGAACAGCTGCGGAGGAATGTCGCCAGACTGTGGAATGTCGGCAACAGTTGTTACAGGCACATGACAGGAGAAATTTCCCAGTTGCACAACATTCAGAATTTTAATGGGGGATATGTTTCCTTTGCGGGAGGAGATGGAGGAAAGATCACTCAAAGGGGAACAGTTCTAATGGAGTACCGAGCTTCAAGAATGTCAACTACGCACCCGAGTTAAAGCACAGTTTGTTGAGCGTCTCTCAAATTTGTGACAAGGGCTACGCGATACATTTTACCGACAAAGAATGTCTAATTCTGAAGGCAGGCATTGTCATCCCAGATGATGGATTCTTGTAAAATCTAAATGGGACGGAAATGCATATATCATTGACATGAACAACAATCTT